CTGGATTGAATCCATGCTGGATAAAGGCTCTGACCCCAGAGCTTTGGCCTTTGTGGCTGGCTATTCATGACCTGCTTGACTTTAAAAGAACCTACATTGGACATTGGACATGTGGAGGGACTGCAGGGAAGGAGGGAAGATCTCCAGAGAGTAGTAGTTACTGCAGCCATTATTTTAAGGCCTCATAAATACTAAAGACCTAGAACTGTCCTTCAGGTGCCCCAAAATCTGCAAAGTCAAGACCTAGTTTCCTTGTGAACCCCCTCATATGTCAAAGAGAAACAACACAGGGATACTTTGAAAGTCTTTGCGCTCCACCTTGTAACGTCAAGACCTCAGGCTGGTTTGACTGATTTGTGGAGGGATCACAGGCTGCACTTAGCATGACATTCTCATTACACGGCTGTAACCTTTTGGTATGTGAACACCACCAAACCTGCAGGAGTTACAAAAGCAGGGGTTGGGGTTCTTAAGGGGTCGAATCCTAAACCCACACACACATTTGTGTCTTAATAAATGTGCACTTGTATGTGATCTCCATTCTTTTCCCTTTCTTTTCGCTCTCTGGGTCATAGACTTTTTTTTCTTTCAGTCCCATTGCTTTCTGGGCATTGATGTCCAAGTGCTTGACAAACAAAAATAAATGAAGTTAAGGGCAGAAGTGGAAAAACGATCCTTGTATAGGCACAGTGAATATAAATGGAGATTGAAGATAATGGAGCGTATTACATCCAAAAGTCAATTTCTGGAAATTTATTGGCTAGTAACAAGGCTAAATTCACCGTGTATGCTTGTGGAAAGTCTGGAGAGATTACGGAGAACAAGGTTTTACAAGTACTCACTCTTAATCGAGTTAATTATCTATTATGTGGATTTTTTCAACAAAGTAGTGGAGTAAACAAGCTTTATTATATCTTCTTTTTTTTTTTTTAATGAAACACATTCCCATGCCAGGCTTGGTTGATTTGTTGTTGTTGTTGTCCTACCCACAAACACATGTTGCCTTTACTAGTTCCTTTCATTCCCATCCCTTTCTTAGTTCATTGCATTCAAATCTAATGACAGACCAACAATGCCTCCTCTATCCCCCAGTATGCATGGTTGTAGTTGGGTTTCAGAGCTCCCCCTGCCTAGACCACCAAGTGACAAGAAATTCTTCTCATTGCCATATGAAACCAAGACACTCTTTTGGCTCCCACCAGGGCCGGTGTGGTCTCATTTTGAATTCACTGACCTGACCTCAAAGGCCTGCAATGAATAGAGGTATCAAATTCGGAATTGTGCCGTATTATTATCCTGAGGAGCTAAACATTTTGAAGGTCCTGGGAACTGGCTTTAAAACCCGTGGGAATCGGTGTTGCCAAGTTGTAAACATTACAATTTCCTAACTTGATTTCCAAAAGTTTTGGAGGCATCAAACCAAGATGGCATTTTGGTTTAGCAAGGCACAGGGCAAGGCAGACAGTGTAATTCCCCACAGAGGACAAACAGCTCTGCCACCAGGTCTGTCCACAACATCTCCACCAACGCAGCTGGAGTTGAAACACATTGGTGATGAGGAGGGTCTGTGGTCCGGGTTTTGCCCAGGAAATTGGTTAGCGGAGGTAGTAATGGTTGAAGTGTGACCCACAGTCAGTGCCTACATAGCTTCCTCACTACAGCTAACATCTGTATAGTCGGTACATTGGCTGTTCAAACCTAAACCAGGTCTATAAATAAAAAAAAAGGCCTGAGCTGGCCAAGCTGACTCCTGCATGTGTGTCAGGGCCTTTTGGGTTTGCAGACCTCTAAGTCGGGGTCTTCTTGACCCATGACTCGAATCTTTGACTTTTTGGTTGAGTAGCCCTAATGATAGTCACTGTCTTTATTAGCGACAAGCACCAAGTCATGGATACATGCAGACCAACATCACAGTACTCTCCAGCTGTAGTCAGTGTGTGCACAATAATCCTAATGCAGTTTAACAGAACTTGTTCCCCATCCTCCTGACAAACCAGTGCTCTTAAGACAAATTAACTCTGGAGAGGAACCAATTAAGGTAGAAAATCTTTCAGACGTGCACTGAAAAAAATACATTTAAATTTGTAGATTGTGTCACCAGAGCCAGGTAAAAAAGTGTAACTACATTTTTATTGCTCATGATTTAAGTTGACATGTGTATTATTTTACCAAAGATCTCCCTACATCATGCAGAGGTTAGGTAAATTGAAACTGAAACAGAAGCATCTATAAACTGAAATACAAGCATATGGCCTGGCCCGCTGGGCTACATGCAGGCCGGGTAGCCGGTATGTGTTTGCAGTTGCAGTTGTGATTTTATGGGGATACGTGTAGTGTTACTGTATTGTTTTTGTTGAGTAGGTTATGAGTTGTAAATCACTGAGTTTATTGCTATGTTTGGAACGTTGCACATACCACACGGTGGTGTAACCCTTGACAGACTTTTGCATTCTCAAGGGGCGATGGAGGTCTGCTAGTCCTGACCACCTTCTGGTTCTCCTCCAAGCTGAATCCTCCTCTCTGGAAACCTAAACCAGACACTTCTTTTCACTCCCTTTCCCTGGTGACAGCTTGACTGCACACCACTAACCTCAGGAGAGAGTGAGGGAGGGTCAAAAGTGGGAAGAAAGGGAAGAGGCATCTGGCTCCATCAGTTGCTTGTCTCTAGGGTGTCTTGTTTTGACTCAAAAGCAGACGCAGGGAGTTGGACAGAAATTAAGTCACAGCTCATTGTCTTCATCGTCTACTGAGAGCTGCTTGCAAAGTCCCAGCTGGATTGCTTGCTGTGGGCCAAGAACACAGTCTAAGTAATAATAAAGTTGGCTCAGCTCCTTTAGAGTCAGACCGCTAATCCCAAAGCTCAGAGTTTTAATTGATTTCATTCAAAGTTGCAGCTAGTAGTCTTCTCAGTATAGGGGTGGAGATCCTTTGAAAAATAATTATTACAGGCCAATTACAGGTCTACACTGGGCAAGAAGTTTATACCTGATCTAAAATGGATCCAAACCTGTGGAAGACCTAACCAAACCCGATGGGCATAAACAAATTTTCAAAAAAAGAGACCAGATGGCACACCAAAGAATTAAAGCAGATAGTGACTCTGCTTTGATCCACTTGAGATCAATCATATTTATACACAGACCCGGACATAGACATAGGGTCCTATCTGGATCCAAATAGACTAAAAGTTGGACAATATCCTTATTCATATTCATTCTTGGTTATTTTAGCTTAGAATAAAGATTGTCCCAGCACCACTAAAGTCACTAATTGTCAAATTTTCAGTACAAAAACTGGCTACGAAATAGTGCAATGCACAAAACCACAAACCATCATTTTTAGGTCAATATCAATACCGATAAATTACACTTTTTTTTGATACATTCAGTTATTAAAGATTGTGACCAAGATATGTACAGAGCAGTTTTTTTTAAAAGGAAACTGGTCAGCGCTCTCTGATGGACAAACTATGTAACAGACCTTTCTGAATGATTGCGAACAAATATTTGGCATTTCTGTACTTCAATTTCTCTGCAATAGGATAATATCAAGTGAGTTGATGGGTTGGGCTCTACTTTTTTTATTCTGAACTTTTTTTCATTGAAAAGCATGCCTAAACTGTCCAGCTTTGAATATAAAAATATAATGTATGATGGAAAAATTGTTGCTGTAGATCTAGAAATATCAGACACACTTAGATTAATGTTCAATACCCAGCCCTACTAAGTAGGGCTGGGTATTGAACATCAACCTAGTAGGCAATAAAACAGTATTGTTTTTCATTTCCTTTTGTCAGGCTTATCAAGGAAGCTTTTACGCCACTTTGGAAATTTCTCCTGAACCCGGTCATTGCTGACGTTTGCAATCGTTGAGTAACCGATGATGTGGTGGTGTGGGAATGGTAAAATCCTAAAACTCCAATGGGTGGAGAGTGTTTGTTGGAATTCATCAACAATTCCATCATACGCCTGCAGATATACTGCAGTGTACTGTGGTCATTTTGAGGTAGCACAAGTTGATTAAATTACCCCACATTTTGGACTGACTTCCTTATTTTACTGCCAAAAGCACCTGAGAGGTTACATGTGCAGTGAAAGGAATTAGAAAATGTACTTAATATCAAATCCTCAATACACAGTGTCTGCCCTTCACTCATCAGCAGCGCTGTTCTAGCTTGCTGCCACAATGGCTGCACAGCATCATTAGCTCCAGGTCTCAACTCTGTTTCCTGTCTGGTCTTGAGTGACGGGTCTTCTGTTTTTGCTCTTTGACTCCTCCAGCTACCATTACCCATCCACCTCCTTTCACTGCAATGTTAGATGTCAGTTGAACATTACCCTGCACTTGGCTTGCCAGCCTATAAGCTCTTTTCTGTCAGCTCACGTGTTTGTTTTGGACTGGGTCCATTGTAATTGAGATTGCATTGAATAATGTATCAGTGTGTAATTTCACAAAGATTCTCTGTGACTGGACAACCTCTTGCCTTCAAATGGTCTGTGAGAGGAATCCTTTGTGAAGGGAAAAATCTAGTTTTCAGTTTTTATATTGGCAGCATTTTCAGTGTTTAGATTATTTTATTGAAATGTCACACAGAAGCATGTGGATATTATATAAATATACTCATGCAGCAGGGCTCATTATCCTATCTGGACCAGTTTGTGAGGTAATTGTAAAACTCTTGACAGTTTGAGCACAGAATATAGAGTAAGGCTTTGCAACATTTTCAGAAACATAGCCAACATCATAAATGTCATTTAGTGAAAGAGAGGAAAGTAAAGGCGTAATACCATCAACTGTCATGGATGACTGAATCATTATGGCTTGGTACTCTGTTACAACAAATTAATTTATTGTACAATAGCTAGTGGTTAACTTCCTTTTTTAGTGCTGCGTAGCATTAATGTTTCAAATGAAAAATTATCTTAGCTAAATTACAATTTGCACATGCATATTTCTTTTAATGTGTCTCTGACTGGCTGATATCCGTTTTTATTCTGCAGGTATCAGATCCACACAGGCCTTCAGCACTCCATCATCCGAGCTACCCAGCCAAACTGCCTACCCCTGGAAAATGTCACACTGCCCCTGAAGCTCAAGCAAGCAGGCTACTCCACCCACATGGTGGGCAAGTGGCACCTGGGCTTCTACAAGCGTGGCTGCCTGCCCACCCAGCGTGGCTTTGACTCTTTCTTTGGCTCCCTGCTAGGGAGTGGGGACTACTACAGCCACTATAAATGTGAAGGGCCTGGTATGTGTGGCTACGATTTGTACGAAGGGGAAGAGGCAGCTTGGGAACAGGACCGTGGCTTGTACTCAACTGTGATGTTTACTCGAAAGGCTATCAATATCTTAGCCAATCACAACCCTCGCTCACAACCCTTGTTTCTCTACTTAGCCTATCAGGCAGTTCATTCCCCACTGCAGGTTCCCGCTCGCTACCTTGAGCGCTACAAGGGTATTCCAAACCTGCATCGTCGTAAATATGCCGCCATGGTGTCCTGTCTGGACGAAGCTATCCACAACCTCACGTTAGCGCTAAAACGCTACGGTTATTATGACAACACAGTTATAGTGTACTCCTCAGATAACGGGGGCCAGCCATTAGCAGGTGGAAGCAACTGGCCCTTGAGGGGGAGTAAAGCCACCTACTGGGAAGGTGGGATTAGGGCGGTGGGCTTTGTTCACAGTCCCCTTTTGGTAAACAAAGGAACAAAATGTCGATCTTTGGTCCACATCACTGACTGGTTCCCCACACTAGTGACACTGGGTGAAGGGACTTTAGACGAAGATCTAAATCTGGATGGATATGACGTCTGGGAGGCTATCAGTGAAGGCCGTCCATCTCCTCGTCAGGACATTCTTCATAACATTGACCCAATCTACATAAAAGCCAAAAATGGCTCATGGAAGGCTGGGTACGGCATATGGAACACGGCCATCCAGGCGGCGCTCCGGGTGGGCCACTGGAAGCTCCTGACGGGGGTCCCCGGCTACAGCGACTGGGTCCCCCCACAGACCTTCTCCAACCAACAGCTAATGAATCGTTGGCATAATGAGCGCGTCCGTTGGGACCGTGGTAAGTCCATCTGGCTGTTCAACATCACAGCTGACCCTTACGAGAGAGTGGACTTGTCTCAGCGCTACCCTCACATAGTGAAGAAGATGCTAATGCGGCTAGCACAGTACAACAAGACAGCAGTGCCGGTACGCTACCCGGCTAAAGACCTGCGCTCTAATCCTCAGTACAATGGGGGAGTGTGGGGGCCCTGGTACAAAGACGAGAGGGAGGAGCAAGAAATGGATGAGAGATACAATAACCTGTTCACCAACCATCTTGGAAAAAGGCGATGGAAAAAGAAATCAAAGAACAGAAAGCTCAAAAGGAGGGTACAAGAGTAGCCAGCCATTTGTGAAAGACTTTGGTTGCCTTTTCTCAGGGATCGACACTTCCTGTTTCAGGATTGTCCTCTTCAGAACTCCAGTTAGTTTTAACTTGACTCCAGTACATACTGTATGAAAAACAATGTGGATGGACCTTTGAAATGCCTCAAGAGAATAAGAAAAAGATCCACTTGTTCAAACACTACTGTCATGCCCAGACACAACTGAGACCTCATGTTAATGTTACGGGCATTTAAAGAATGTTTATTTTTCTAGATTGTGTTGCATGCTTGAACTGTTGTCACCTTTTGGATTGTTCTGTTGATTCATGTTTCACTTAGAGTAGAAAATAAATCTTCTTAGACAGTTGCCATAAATTTTGGTGACAGAGAAATAAAGTAAGACATAGTTCTATTATGTTGTTGATTGCAGCGAAACAGTATCGTGGAAACAGATGTAGGATTTACATGATGTGTGAGTTGATGTACGTTGCTTTTATAAGCAGTCAGTCTGAGCTTTAGAATAATAGATTTCGTTCCCTCTTTAAGATGATGTCTGGTCTGGCACCAGGCCAAACTGAATGTAAGACAAACTAACAAAATAAAAGCCCCAGACACAAAGCTCTTTGTCTCCTGCAATCTTTCAAGCTCTGTCTGGTTTGCTTTTTATTGCAGCCAGATTTCCTTCATTCTGATGACAATAAGTACTCTTGTAACTGGAAAGTTTTAACATATTTAAAGCTAACACGCGGCCACTAAATACATTTATTCATGGAAAAAACAGTAAAGTGGGATCCGACCGGTGATAAAGACCTAATTTGCTTTCTTGCAGTCCTTAAAACATGCCTGTCTCAACCGTCATGGTGTACAGTACAAGAAGTTGTGATCGAGGAAAACACAGAAACGGAACTACTCACATGGAGTGAACACAACTTACAACCTGAAAACAATATTTTTCATATGCACATGTTGCTTGGCACCCATGTAAACAGTCCCCAAGCTCAAAATGTTGATGAGTGACTTGAGCTGTTCATGAGTTTTGCTTGTAAATTGTTTGGTGTACTTTACAGGCCAATTAGCCATTTTAATGACACTAAATGACTTCTAAATGTCCCATTCCCTGCAAGATTTATAGTTGCCTAAAAATGGAACATGTTCTGTTTTGTTCTTTTTTGCTTCCCTAGCTTGTCTTTTTGTCTTTTTAATTAGCTAACCAAACGGCCTTTGTGAACACTGCGAGGCTGTGGCTCCAGTACGGCCTGAGAGCTTGGAATCGCTTCGAACATATGAAACAACAGGAGCTCCAGAGAGAGGGGCTTTCCCGTGGAAAGAGTGCCAGGCTGCACTGCAACATCCCTCCCATCCACGCTGACTTGGATCCCCCTGACTGTACTTCGAGCCAAGTAATGACCTCAGACCATTCAGGCACTGACTCAACTTTCACAGCGACACTTGTGTTAACAGCTTAGGCTGATATGAAGGGGGCTCTTTCGATCCTTAACCTCTGTAAATCCAAAGCAGGTGATGTCTATTTGGGTTAATTGTGCTGGTTTTCCTCACCTCCTTCACATTGATTTGTGCCTACAGGCCAGATTGTACCCATGGGAACTGGAATTTACCTGGCTAAGCTCGGCTTGACCATAGAAACAAGGGATGCCCTCCATATATTACGAGCTACAGCTGAGAATTATAGAAGATCCAATTTTTATTTCGCTGCGTCGTGCTGAATTTCCTTTCCCATGGGCCATAGGAACAGTTAAACCCCAGATTCTCCGGGAATGCACATTTGCTTTCAGTTATGGGCATTAGCATCCCTCTTATGGGAAAAAGCAAGGATATTTTTTTCCCTGTAACTGAGCTGTAAGGCAATACATCAAGCTCCCTTATCCTGCCGCCTCACATTAAAAATGCCCATTAGTGCTCATTGAGAATGATATGAGAAAATAAACCTGATGGATGGCAGAGCAAGAGCACTTTGATCAAAGTGAAGCGTAGCCGTACAATTTTTTGCTCAGATTGTGTTGGTTTTCTCACAGCTGTGGCACCGTGTGAAACGTATAGTTTAGGCTCTTGCATGATCAAGGTGCAAATTAGCCGAATAATGTGTAGCCAACTGGAAAGAGCCCACTGCCTCGCTGCCAAGGGCTACATGCGAAACACCATGACTCAGCTAGGCTTGGGCTTTAAAGTATCTTTCCCAAAGTCAAGTGATGAAAAACGAGACAAATATCAAGCAGCTGTTGTCAAAAGAATCAGAATTAATACAGAATCTGTGAAAACGCCACCCAAAATGCCAGAACACATTTAACGCTTGCGGTGCATGCACTCAGCATTACACACTGTAGGGCTGTGCTCTCCCGCTACTTGGCAAAAGCGTGACATTCCAATCCTAAGAGGTAGTTGAGGCTTTTTTTATTTTTTAAGTGGTTGTACAAGCATTAGAAACGGCTGCAGTCATGTTTGACAGTGACGTCATAGGAAGTCCTGCCTGGGAAGTGGCCTAAAGAATCTGCAAATAATGTGCCAAAGTGATAAAGAAGATACATCCTTTTTCCTGCAGGAAGCTGAAGAGTTCACACGTGCAGAATGTAAGCTGTCTGGAAAATACATTCTGTACTATTTTACTTACAGATTCTCCTACATGAGTTAGAGTAGCTTTGACATTTATTGAAGCCCATGAGAAAATTTTACGTGTGTGAGAGAAGACAGAACAGTGAATTAGTCTGATGGACAGTGTATCTTGGCTGGTAGTCTCTCTGCAGACATGGGGATTTCCTGTAATAAGCAATTTCACCCATGCACAACTGGACCTTCTCGTAAGGCACAGCACTCCCACCTTATCCAGTTTATGACATATGGCCCTGTTTTGCACTTTCCCAGGACCACTCCCTTAATATCTTTATATTTCTTTCACTTCCTTTCATTATTCTTCTTGAGTACATCCTCTCTTCATCCCTGTCATTATTCTTGTAATGCTTTTTTTATGTTCTCTTCATCCTCTGTTTCTCTTACCTCACTCCCTGCTTTGCTCAGTGGAGGTTCTCCACTCAAGTCCAGACCTGTGGTTTTTTTTGTTGGTGCTCCAGCAGTGTTGCAAGGTAGGCCTGGCTCTTCCACACAAACACAGCGTCGTCCATCTCTCAGCAGCAGTAGGCCCCCAGGCCTGTCGTCCACTTGCCATGGCCTATGGCTCTAAAAACTCTTCCCCCTTCCATCACTCTTCCTCTTGATTTCTCCTGCGAAGCACAACGTTCCCCTCCATTCTCACTCTGTCAGTCAACTGCAGAGGATAATCTGTGCTGAACTCCAGCCAAAACACGTTGCCACGTCATTCATCAACACACACTTCCAAGTTCGGAACAGGAGCGTGACTTTTCTCCATATTGCACACTTAAAAACCAACCATTTATCACTGTCAAACAAATTTTATCACGTATAATTAACACAGTATAATTATAAACAAAAGACTGCCATTTTCCTTCACCTGTGATTATATTAGTGATTCTCAGAATTAGAACTATACTAGCTGTACATCATAATGCTTTTATTTAACGTATATATTCAACTGCAGTTCCTCTAAGAGCCACTTGAGGCTGGCTCCAGCGGTGAGTCAATCTCCATAAGGCCCCATATTAAAATGCCCAACTCTACAGCAGAAATAAACGTGTTTACAGCCTGGTACAAAACACAATTTTTGGTCTCTATAGCTAATTTCCCCATTAATATCAACTGTGCGGGGGTGAAAAGTTAAAGTTATGCATAATTAAGGGCCTTTGAGTGACAGGTTGGTGCCGTCACAGGTGGCTGGTTTCAGCAAGCTTCATACAGCCTGCCTCAGCCCCATCCACACTCCATGTTTTTGCCCAATTTTGAATTAGATGGGAGCCACGAGTACTGATATTGACACATTTTTACTCTAATGATACTCCACACTCGTGAAAAATACATTATCCGTACTGGTCACTTATCTGAGTACTCACGCAACCATACAAATTTGCTTATTTATTCCTGATAATAAAGCTGCACGATGAATGTTTTATCATTGAATTGAATTAGCTCTTCGGTCTCTCCTGAGAAAGATATCTAGCTCTTTAATGGTAAATGGACCTTATCGGCCCTCTACCCAACCACCCAAAAACCTCTTACGTGCCACATTTCACCCTTCCACCATCAGCGATGGGCAAAGTCCATCGAACGAAACTAAGTGAGCATTTGGGGTTCTGTGTCTTGCTCAAGGATACTTCGACACGTGGCAGGAGGAGCCGGGGATCGAACCAACAACCTTCCGAATGGGGGACGACCCGCTCTGCCTCTGAGCCACAGCTGCCCACAAGCTGCTAAATCCCTCACTATATGCACCAGCTAGTGGCTAACCGTCTTTGTTGGTTTGGTGTTGGGTAGCATACAGCGGAGTATATTGTTTTGTTGCTGAAAACAGCTGAATTAAACAGTTGCACTCATCACCTCAAATATTGCATCGAGTCATTTGATCCATCGCTACTATATAAAAATATTCATTAGTGCAGCTTTAAATAAAAGGTTACATTTTGTTGGACCTTTCATGTGACCACTGAGAAATTTGACCACTTTAACAATGAGGAGTGATCAGAATCACAGTCACATCTATGACAATGAAAGACCGGACAAATCAGAAACAACACAGTTTCCCACACTGAGTGAAGAGAGAACATTGTTTTCTTCACTAATTAACCGCTGATGTAATGTTCAGCTCATCCCCTCCTCGTTATTCAAATACACACAATCACATCCTTGTTTGATTAATGTTTATATAATAAGCACGAGGGCGGAAACATGAGCTCATACACCACCTGCTGAGTGGATTGTATTGTGTTAAATGTCCAAACTTTCGTTCTGTTACTTTAGTTTACTTCATTAATGATGTGATCCAAATGAGGTGTTATACCCATGGCTGACTCATTAATGATGAGCTGATATCATTAGTTGTGTGCAAGGACTTCCACAATAATTGGAGCTTATTGCTAATTTTGGATTTAATCTTTGTCGACCAGAACTGTGACTATATCATCTTTATAATAAATGCAAGTCTGTGTTTGAAATAACTGCTTTTATACAGTAAGCTTTTGTTTCCAATATCACTTCATCATTTTCTTCTCATGTATGTTACCTGTTTTATATTTTTTAACCTTGTTTTCATGTAAATCTTTAAGCATGCAGGAATTTAAAGGATCATGCTGGCTCAGGCTAACCCTATCCCTACATCTTGGGTCATTATGATCAGCACAAATTACTGAAAAATAGTAATTAACAGTTACTTCTCTGAAAAGTATTTGAATTATTTACTGCATGTAAAAGGAATTAGTTACTAGTTGAAGTAACTTAAGTGAAGCTTTAGAGGTGTTCGGAGGTGTATTTTTGAACTGTGGACTAAGCCAGGCTAGCTGTTTCCCCTTGCCCCCAGTCTTTATGCTAAGCTAGGCTAACCACATCCTGACTACAGATCTGTACTTAACACAAAGAGTGGTATCAATCTTCTCATCTCACTTTTTGAAAGAAAACACATTTTCTAAAATATTGAACTGTTCCTTTAAGCTGTCACGCACCTTTTTTAACAGACAATTGGGGTC